GATGGATGGATGGATGGATAGATGATAAATGAATGGATGGATGATAGAGTTGACAGGTGACATAAATACATAGATGATGGATAGTTAGATGACAATGGATAGATGATGGACAGACAGACACTCTGGAACTACAGTACAGTTCAGGTGTGTGACAGTGGAATGCTGTGTGGAAGTGCTATTTTTGTTACTATTTTTAGGTGAATGAGAGAATTTGAGTGCAGCATAACCACCTTTCTCTCCTAATCACTGCAGACTCTGTCCTGATGACGAAGGGACAGGGAGGTGGCCGGGGTCCCCTGTGGGAGGGTGCAGCCTGAGCCCGGCACCCAGCACATGCCCCTGCCCTACCCATGGCCATGGCCCCCACTGGGCCCCAGGGATGGGGGACCCGCCACCAACCGTCCCCAACTCCCCCCGGCGCCCAAACTGCAAGAGCAGCTGGAGATTGGCCTCGTAGGGAGGGCAGGGAAAGCCGGAGCTCGTGTCACAGCCGTGTCACAGCCGTCGGGTGAGGAAGGGCGCCCACAGGCGCTCAGAGGCCAGCTGCTGCCCGCGTCGCTCCGGCCTGGGCGCTTCGGGGCGGTGCCTGTGAGTGGCCGCAGCGCACCGATGACATCTGAGGACACACGGTGGGGGCTGCAGCCAAGGGCGCCCGCGGGCTGCTGGTCCTGGCTGCACCGGGAGGCTGTCTGGCTGGCACAGCCGAGGTCACGGGGGATGGAGGACACACATGCGGACTGGTCTGCCCCGCGTGCACCTGCTGACCTGGGGCCACAGTCCACCTGACGCCTGGCCAGCAGGACCGGAGGGCGTCCGGCCCCGCCTCCCGCGGCTGAGGTCCCATGAGGACTGCTCGCCTTCAAACACTCACGGAGACCCTGACCCGGCTGGACCCTGACCAGGGCCCCCACGGCCCCAAAGCGGGCCTCACACAGCAGGCTGTGCGTCCCAGGAAGTCTGGGGCAATGACCCCACCCCCAGCCGATCGCAAAAGTCCCTGTTCTGTCTCGAGCCACGCAGTGTGGCAGCAAGTCGGCTGCGACGCTGTTATGGTGGCCTCAGAAAGACAGAGGCCCTGACCCCCAGAACCTGGGAATGGTCCTATGTGGAAACGGGGTCTGTGCAGATGGGACCGAGTGAGGGGTCTGACAGTACGGCGTCCTGGATCAGGGGGGCCCTGACCCCAACGACAGTGTCCTTATCGGGGACAGAAGAGGAGGGGCACAGACACAGAGGGGGCGCCACGTGGAGACGGAGGCAGAGATGGGGGGCAGGCGGCCACCCGCCCGGGGACGCCTGGAGCCCCCAGGAGCTGGACGGGGCAGGAGGGACCGTCCCCTGGGGCCTCCGGAGGGCGCGTGGCCCTGGGACAGCGTGGTGGCAGCCTCCTGGCCCCCAGAATGGAGACGGGTGGGTTCCTGTGGTTGTGAGCCCCCCGCCTGTGGCCACTGCTTTGGCCACTTGTTCAGGTACCTTCGACGCTTTGAAGCCGACTATCAGCTCTAGCAGGCCGGCCGGGAACGGGGGCAGGCTCTCCGCGGTCCAGTTGCGGTGCGCGTCCCGTGTGCCCGGAGCCCGTGCGGGGTCGCCGCCCTCAGCCTGGGCCCCGCCGCGGTCTGGGCCGGCACGCCCCTCCTCGCGGAGGCTTTCGGAGGTCTCCGCGGTGGGGCCGGAGCTGTGCTTCCCCCGCCGCAGGCCCTCGGCGCCCGGCAGGCGGTACAGCTCCGCCAGCTTCTTGCAGAAGTGGTTCAGCGGGAAGCCGGCCACGTTGAGGAAGTCGCCCCGGATGGACTCCACCAGCATACCGCCCAGGGCCTGGATGCCGTAGCCTCCGGCTTTGTCCCTGAGCGTGGGGGGGAGGGGGGGTCCCCACGGGGAAGGAGAAAAGGACAACGGTTACAGGAGGTGGTGGCCAGCAGCCAGGGCCAGCGTTTCACGGCAACCAGACGGGACGTGGGGACCGAACCCAGCGAGCCATCTCCAAGCCGGGTGGCGTCCTGTGGGGGCGTCCAGTTCCAGGCCCACGTCCTCAGTGCTCTTTGGTCCTGAGCACGGGCCACCCCACGGCGGCCCCACAGGTGGCTGTCCTCCACACCTGGTGCCCGGTGGGCGATGGGGGTGCCCACAAGCCCCCCAGCCCCCTCCTGGCCTGCCCTTCTGCACGGGGCACACGTGGCCCCAGGTGCCTCATTCTCACGTCTCTTTATGGGGGTCCTGGGCCTCGGTCTTTCCCGGGCACCCGTGCTGAGATCCCCTTAAGGGGACAAGGGCCCTGGAAGCCCCTTCCTCCGCCCTGAGACCCCAGCACTGTTGCATCCTGCCCCGTTCCGCTCTCTGTCCCCGAGACGCAGGCCCCAGGAAAGGGTGCGACCCCACGGTGCCCTCGAGGGTGCCGCAGGCCTGCGGGCCCTAGAAACACTCACATGGGCTCCCCGCTGTGGATGTATTCCCACAGGAGCTCCTCCGACAGCTGCGCGAACGTCACCATCGTCTCCTCGTAGAAGTGTGAGATCTCCAACTCCAGCTGGCCGCCTGGAACGACACAGCTCTGCCGGTGAGGGCACGGCCTCGCGTGGGAGGGGGACTCGCCTGGACTTCGCGTGCAACTCAGAAATGGTTCGTTCGTGGGCGTAAAAAGGTTCATTGTTAGACAAGGGAAACGAGAGAAAATTACAGAAAACGCACAAGCTAAATCAGCAAAGAGGAGAAAAGGCTGCAGCCTGCAGACGGCACGAGACGGGGCTTCTGATTTTCTGGGGCGATTCGTGGAATGGAGCCTCTGGGGTCACCAGGCCTCAGCCGTGGGGTTGGGAAAGCCCCAAGCATGGCAGCTTTGGGGTCACTTGGGAGAGTCCCCAATGCCAGCTGTCCTGGGGCGAATAAGAGGTAAAGGTGGCCCAGTCACGGCTAAGCAGATGCGTGACCAGCCATCGGTGGCATGCGGCGAGGGAACCCCAGGGCAGGAGCGCAAAGTCTGTCTCGGGGGCGTTGCCCAACCGACACAGTCTTCAGAGCAGCTCTAACCATTATTCCTCGGGGTTTCTGTGCATTTTCAAAGACTTTTCATCGGCGTGGCATACCCCACCCGCGCCCGCCTGGGCCCGCTGCCTCTGCCTTCCAGACCCAAAGGCGTCAAAGAAAACGCGTGCGGGGCTCGTGCTGGGTGGGGTCTTACGAGTGGGGCCCGTGTGTCTGCCACTGGACAGCGCACGCTGACTCCCACATTACCCCAACTTTCCCTGACGGTGGGAGAGAAGGGCTGTTGTCCCGTGATCCCTGAGCCGACCCCTCAGGCCCAAGTCCCCTCACGTCCCTGGGGAGGAGGGGACCGTGCGTACCTTGGCTGAAGCAGTGGATGATGACAACCCCCGTGAACACGCTGTGCTCCTTCCCGTTCAACCTGCAAGACACAGCCGCAGGCATGGCGGCGTCTCAGGTGGCAGCCGAGCCACCAGGCACGCTCCCCACCAGCAACAGGCGACACCCCACTGTCGGGCCCGGTTCCTTGCTCCATGTCCCCCAGCGTCCGCTCACTGCGTCTCCCAGGAAACCTTGGAGAGAGGCTGGTGTAGGTGGCTGCGAGTGGCGGAGGGGGTCATCGGTGTCAGAGCAGGGAGACACCACCAGGGGGCGTCGCTTACAAGACTCAAGGTCAAGGTCATCGGAGGCACAGCACCCCAACAGGAGAGGCCAGGCATGCAGGCAGGACCCAGATGGGGCTGCTCTCCGCTGGCTCTTTCTGGAGGTCTGCTTGCTGTCCTGTGTCCCTCAGGACACAGCACGGCTGGCCCAGGCCCACCTCCCCATCGCCTGGACAGCAGCTCAGGTGTGCTGGGCTGTGGGGACAGCCGGTCTCATGCACACAGGTACGGGGGAGGGTGCCAGCTGAGACGGATGACGAGGGAGCAGAGATGAAGGTGATGGGTACACAGAGCCCAGACAGAGCCCCAGTGGGGTGACACCAAGGGCCCCGGCCCCGTCCTCTGACCTAACCCGGGAGGGTGACCAGGGTGGTGACGCACTGACTGCACGAGGACCCGTGGCCCCTCCCCCCGCCCCAGGCTGTGACACCGGGCGCGTCCCCGACAGGCGGGCCACCCGGCACCCACCGAGACAGCATGTGGTACGCGTCCTGCTTGTCTATGGGTTTCTCCAGGATCAGGCCCTCGACCGTCTGCAAGACAAACAGGAGGGATGGGGTCGTTTCCACGCCCCGAGCTGGGTCTCTGCACGCCACTCTGCCCACCGTTTTTCTTTCATCTGACGTGAGAGTCACATAACATAAAATTCACCATTCTAAGCAGTCCAGTGGCAATTAGCACAGTCCCAATGCCGTCTTGTCATCGCTCTCTAGTTCCAGAATGTTCCATCACCCCCAAGGACAGCCGTCCCCATGAGCCGTCACTCCCTGTCCCCCTCCCCCTAACCCACTTCCTGTCTGTGGACGGGCCCGTCCAGGATGTTTCACGTAAACGGACTCACACACTATGTGACCTTGTGTGTCTGGCTTCTGTCACTGAGCACCGTGTGTTCAGGGTCCCTCCACGTTGCCGCAAGTGTCAGAGACCCCCTCCTTTTCACGGCCGAGAGATATTCCGCTGTGTGGATGGACCCCCTTCTGTTTGTTTATCTGTTCACTGGTTGATGAATATTTGGGTTTTTCCCTTTTCAGCCACTGTACATAATGCTACTACGAGCATGTGTGTACAACACTGTTGGAATACACGAGTATTTTTCCCCATCCCCTTTACCACCCTCCCCTTTAGCAACCATCAGTTTGTTTTCTGCTCTCTGTGGGTCTGTGAACGCATGTTTTCAATGATTTTTAGTATGTACGAAATCTGACAACTAAGTTTGCAAACTCATCCTAGAAAAAGTGCTACACACCTCATTGCTGAATGTCACCATGGTCACCTTCGAAGTCCTCCCCTTGGGAAGCTATGCACCGATGCCAGCGCCTAGTCCACCCTTCAAAGCAATTCTGGAACTCTTTTTCTGTAACAGCCATCAGAGCTGTCATCGTATTACCCTTAATGTCCTGAATGTCATCAAAATGTCTTCCTTTCAATATTTCCTTTATCTTTGGGTAAAGAAAGAAGTCATTGGGGGCCAGATCAGGTGAGTAGGGAGGGTGTTCCAATACAGTTATTTGTTTCCTGGCTAAACACTCCCTCCCAGACAGAGTCGTGTGAGCTGGTGCATTGTTGTGATGCAAGAGCCATGAATTGTGGGCGAAACGTTCAGGTTATCTAACTTTTTCACGCAGCCTTTTCAGCACTTCCAAATAGTTAACTTGGTCACCTGTTTGTCCAGTTGGTACAAAATCATAATGAATAATCCCTCTGATATCAAAAAAAGTTAGCAACATAATTGCAACAAATTCGTGAACTTAATTGTCAGACCTCGTACATAAGAGTAGGTATGTTTGCTAGGGCTGCCAGAAAGCATGACAGGTTGGGCAGCTAACACAACACACATTTATTCCCTCCCGGTCCTGGAGGCTGGAGTCCGAGATCCGGGTGTCCCAGGGCTGGTCCCCACTGAGGCCTCTCTCCTGGGTGTGTAGATGGCCGTCTGCTCCCCGTGTCCTCACATGGCCGTCCCTCTGTGTGTGTCTGTGTCCTCGCCTCCTCTTCTTATAAGGACACAGTCCTATTGGGTCAGGGCCCACCCTAGTGACCTCATGTTGTTACCTTAATCCCCTCTTTAAAGACCCATCTCCAAATGAAGTCCCATTCTGATGTCCTGGGAATGAGGGCTTCACCCTGTGAGTTTTGTGGGACACAGTTCAGCCCACAGCAGTAGAATTGCCAGGTCACATGCTAATTCTATGTTTAACTTTTTGAGGAACCAGCATTGTTCACTCTTGAACTTCCACATAGAAACACCCTTAACCGTGAACCAGAAATCATGTCTGGTTCTTGCCAAAAACATCAAATCAGGCTGCCAGGACCATACAACAGTGAGGTAGACCCCGGAATCGCTCCATCCGGTTACTCTCGGATCCTGGAGTGTGTCAAGGTTCAAATGGGCGACCCCTCGCCAGGAGACTGTGGTAGCACCTCAGCATAGAGGCCAGCAGACCAGTCAGGGGCAGGGACAGAGGACTACTATGCCCAGCAGAATTCTGGTGAGGATCAATCCATGTGAGTGTGTGTGTGTTGGGGGGGGCCTCCATATTATGACCGGTGTCCTTAGAAGAAGAGGAACATTTGGACACACACTCGCACAGGAGGAGGAGGCATATGAAGACTGAGGCAGCTGTTGGGTGATGCAGCCACAAGCCAGGGACACCAAGGACTGCCTGTAGCCCCCAGACGCTGGGAGAGAGGCCCGGGCCAGACCCTCCCCTGGGGCCTCCAGGGGAACCAGTCCCGCCCACAGGTGGGCTCCGGACGCCAGGAACCTGTAAAGAAAAGCGGAGGCCAGAAGCTGGACTCACCACAATAGTGTCCGCTCCGATGACGACGTCGGGGGCCCTGAGGTCCTTCTGCAAAAAATCCAAACTAAGCTTTAGAAGAGAGGCCCCTGCGTGTGTTACAGAAACATTTCTGGGATATCATGCACGTGAAACGGCGTCCCTGGCAAGCAGCCATGGTTAACTTCGGAAATCAAGATCTGCGTGTCCCCTCTGTGCCCAGCAGGACAGGAGTGGGACCCTGATATGCTCACCAGAAATCTGCATGCAACCCTGAACTTGGGTTGCACTTAAATGCTAACTTTTTGCTGTTGAAAATCAATCCGTCAATATCCTTTTATTGATGCCAGTCATTTATTACAGCATTAACTACAATGCATTTATTGTATTAATTGCTATAGGGTGTTCTTATAACTCATAGTAATAGATAAGCTACATTAATTCTATGTAATGAGTGACACTACTATAGTCACTATAGTAGCATATTACATCGTAACACACCGTAATCGGCTCCATTAATGCTATATAATAAATATCAGTGTTACATTAATCACAATGGTATATTACACAGTAACAAAGTAATTCATGAGCTATATCATGTAAATGATACTATTATGTTAATCACAATGGTATGTTACAAAGTAACATAGTAATATTATAGATACACTACATTCTATATAATAAGTGATACTATTATATTAATTGCAATGGTATATTACACAGTAACAAACTAATTCATGAGTTCTATAAGTGATACTATTATGTCAGTTACAATAGTATGTTACAAAGTAACACACAGTAATAGGTAAGCTACATTAATTCTATGTAATAAGTGACACTATTCTAGTAATTATATTAGTACATTATATAGTCACACACGGTAATAGATAAACTACCTTAATAGTCATTGTAAATGATACTGTTATATTAATTACAATCGCATGTTACATAGTAGCAAAGTAACAGATAAGCTCTGTGACATAAAGGATACTCTCACATGAATGGACTAGTCCACGGCACCGTAACCCTCAGCACTAAATAAGCTCCGTTCATTGCACGTTGTCAATGGCACTCATTTACAACATGCCTGTTTAAAACCTGGAAACCCCTCCTGGCCAGAGAACCCAAGGCAGCCGCAACCAAAGCCCCTTGCCTGGTGTATCCTGCGAGCCACATCCAGCGCCTTCTGCTTGGCGGTTTCGATGGCGTACTCATAAGGGGTACGGAAGGAGGCTTTGCTGAGCTTCTCATTAAACCTCGAAGGAACTACCTCGAACCTGAGACCCTGGAACAGGAGACAAGAGGGGCCTTGAGGGTTTGTCAGGAGAACGCGACGACGTGGGGCAGAACGTGCAAGGATGACAACAAACGCCGCCTTTTCCACGTGCAGCCCGCCTCCCCGGCTATCTCATGTGTTCCCTGAGTTTTCACCCGGTGCTAACTCGGGGACTGGCTGGGGCTGGCAGACCTGGAGGGAAGACATCTGTGTGCACACACGTCAGTCACATGAAGACCGGGGAGGAGGGGGGATATTGACTGAGGTGCAGGACACACCGATCCTAGGGTTCAAAGAGCTCCCAGGGTGTTTCAAAGGCCGGTGCTTCACCCTAGTAACTGAAAATATCCTGCCCCCAAGAATTGCAAAAAAAAGAAGAAAAAGAAAAAAATGCTGCGTGAGCGGGGAATAGGGCTGCTTTAACCTGGTCCCCTAACACTATCAACAGGTAAGACAGTCATGAAGAGACTGACGTCCCACCAGGGTTGGGAATGTGGGCGTTCAGCACACAGGGCAAAGCTCCCCCGGCCCCCTTGGGCAACCCACCCGGCTGTCCCTTCCCCCGCCACCAGCTCCGGGACAAATGGACCGGGCTGGGCCTGGCCTGGCAGCCCTGCACACTCACGAGGCCCAGAGGCCCGGCCTGCACACGGAGGCCGCAGGTCACATAGAC